AACAAGCTGGAATGAAAACAAGCAAAAATGAAATAAAAGTAACAATTTTCTACTTCTTGTCTTTTTAAAAAAATGTAAGGAGTAGAAAGTGCAGATAATTGTGTGAAAATGTAAGAAGTAGAAGTAAAAAGCAGGTTGAAAAATAATTACTCAAGTAAAGTACAGATACTCAAAAATTCTACTTAAGTACAGTAACAAAGTATTTGTACTTAGTTAATTTGAAATTATTGTGATGACCTGAATAACAAACCTTTTAGTACATCAAGAAGAAATCAAGTATTGTGTCTTGATTTATGTTAAAATACCTTGAATTACCTGTATGTACAGAAAAGAAAATGTCTATCACTTACAATTGGGGGGTCCAGCTGCTTGATAGGTGGGAAACGGGCCTTGGGTGGTAGGGCGGGAAAACACTGGGGGCTCCTCGCCAAACACAACAATCATCACTTGAATCAGGCCATAAAGGTCTGACTGAGGCTGTAAAACAAACAGCGAAGGCTATTACACTAACATGATCAGCAGTTACCATATTAAAATATCAAATACTTAAATACAAAATTAATTCTAGTATGTGATTCTTTTGAGAGAATCATTTTATCCTAATTATTCGGAAAAAAGTGTTTATGTATGATGATTATGGGTCAGGTATGGAGCAAGTCACAAAAATGATGCAATCTCTCAACCCAGAGTTCATTTACTGTAAATCTGACTTTAACAAAGGCACTGAGCAACACAATCTCAAGTAACAACATTTCTCCCAAACCTAGGTGACGTGGATAGGTCCTCGGTGTGAGCGAGCTATATCCACCCTGAAGGTTAATCTTCAATCAATCAATCAATCAAAACTTTATTTATACAGCACTTTACAAACCCCAAGGCGACCAAAATGCTGCACAGCAAAAAATAAAAATAAAAACATAGTAATATAAAAGCAAACAAAACAATCAGAACTTCAAAAACAAAACAGAAGGGAGAGGAAAAAACATAAGAGAGAGTGAGACTATTACATGTGCTCTCTGGAGTTAAAAGCCGAACCAAAAAGATGGRTCTTTAAAAGAGATTTAAACTCAGTCAGTGTTCTGGCAGACCACACAGAAAGAGGGAGACTGTTCCAAAGTTTAGGAGCCACAGCTGAGAAGGCTCTGTCCCCTTTATTCACCAGCCGGGTCCTGGGAACCACCRAAAGCATCTTGTCCTCCGATCTTAGAGCTCTACCTGGATGATAATTATGTAGAAGCTCAGAGAGGTAACCAGGTGCCAGACCATTTAAAAACCAAAAGTAAAACTTTAAAAACAATCCTAAAAGAAACAGACAGCCAGTGAAGGGAATGCAATACCGGGGTAATGTGCTCAGATCGCTAAYAAACGTGCAGCAGAATTGTGAACCAACTGAAGACGATGGAGCAGAGACTGGTCAATTCCACTGTAAAGGGAATTGCAATAATCCAGTCTGGAGAAAATAAAAGCAAGGGTATCATGCGGAAGATAAGGCTTGACTTTACTGATGAGCCTTAAATGATAAAAACTAGACCAGACCACTGCGCTGACCTGCTTGTCAAATTTAAAATTATTGTCTAAAAGAACTCCAAGATTCTTAATAAAATGACAATCAAAATCCAAATAGCCAACAGCACTGTTAAATCCTACCAGCAGGTCAGTTTTGCCAAACCCAGTGACCTCTGTTTTATTTTCATTTAGACAAAGAAAGTTTAGCTCCATCCAACGTTTAACGTCCTTTAAACAATTCTGCAGATTCTCCACATGCTGAGGTCCACCAGATCTTAAACGTAAATAAATCTGAATGTCATCTGCATAAAAATGATATGACACATCGTATTTCTTGAAGATGGACCCTAGTGGGAGCAAATAAATAGAAACCAAAATGGGGCCCAGAATGGAGCCTTGAGGTTCACCACATTAAAGAGGAGCCTTTGAGGAATAAAAATCTCCAATATGAACAGAAAAACTCCTATCAGATAAGTAGGACTCAAACCATTTAAGAGCTGAGCCTTTCACCCCGACTGCTCCATGATGACTTCATGATCCACTGTGTCAAAGGCAGCAGTGAGATCTAGAAGAATTAAAACAGCAGAAGCACTAGAATCTACAGTTAAAAGCAAGTCATTACACACCCTGAGAAGAGCTGTTTCAGCACTGTGACGTGACCTAAAACCAGACTGAAACTTCTTATAAATTCCATTCAGATCTAAATGGTCCTGTAGCTAAAGATAAACCACCTTCTCTAAAACTTTTAAGAGGAAAGGCAACTTTGAAACTGGCCTAAAATTTAAATTTGAAAGGTTGTTAGGGTGTAAGTTGTTCTTTTTAAGAAGAGGTTGAATGACGGCATGTTTAAAGGCAGCTRGAACACACCCTAAATGAAGGGAAAAGTTAACAAAACCAGCTACCCGTGGACCAACAATGGTAAAGACCTCTTTCAGAAGTCTGGAGGGGATAAAGTCACCTGGACAGAATGAAGGCCTCAGGTGTTGAACTAAATCAGAAATATGAGAAACAGACACAGATTCAAAACATTCTAAAACAGCAGGAGATGCATGTGAAATAGGATCAGGGTTGTGCAAAGGTAAAACCCTGACAGCACTTACTTTRTCTAWAAAATATTTTAAAAACCTTTCACATATTGAAGCAGGAGTCAGGCAAGAAGAATCATGAGGATTTAAAAGAGTTCAAAGCATTAAAAAAAGTTTGAGGCTTACTGATATTTTCAGACACAAAATTTGAGATAAAATGAGTCTTTGCATCTTTGACAGCAGCCTGATATTTGGATAAACAATCTTTTAACAACTACAAAGGGAATATGAAGCTTGTCTTTTTTCCACCTCCTTTCTGCGCGCCGGCAGCTGCGTCTTAGTGCATGTGTGTGATCAYTCAGCCAGGGCTCTGTAGCTAGTTTAGTGCGTTTAGATTTAAAAGGAGCAATAAGATCTAAAATATTAGTACAAACAGAATTAAAACCATCCAGAAGCTGATCAATATTTCTAAAATGGTGGACATCCAAAGAAGGAAGCTCAAAATCAGTAAAAGCAGCTTTAAAATTTGAGGCTGTCTGTGCGTTGATCAGGTGACGGGAGCGCACAAAGGCACGTGAATCAGGCACAGTCTTCACGAACTTAAATTCAAATAAAACAGGCAGATGATCAGAAATACCGGAGTCAATAATTTCATTAACATGTCCATATAAACTATAAGTTAAAACCAAGTCCAAAGTATGTCCCTTTTCGTGTGTTGGACCACTCACTAACTGATTCAAATTAAAAGAGCAGATTAAGTTCAAAACGTCTTTCGTCAGCGGCTTGGTCTCACAACACACATGAATGTTAAAATCTCCAACAATTAAAATCTGATCATAATCAAGCATCAAAGCTGACAAAGAGTCTGGAAAGTCTTGGATAAAATTACTGTTAAACTTAGGCGGCCGGCAGATCACCGCACAAAGTAGCGGGGAATCGCATTTTATTTCCATAAGTTGAACCTCGAARCTGGAGAAACTATCAGATGAAATCAGCCGACATGAGAAACAAGATCTGAATACTACAGCGRCTCCACCACCTTTGCCTGCAGTTCGAGGAGAGCTGAAGAATCGACAATCAGGAGGAAGAAGTTCTGAGAACGGAGTGAACACACCAACTCGAAGCCATGTCTMCGTCAAGAACATACAATCCAATTCATGTGATTTAAAAAAGTCGTTCAAGATGAACGTTTTATTTGCTAGAGAACTAGCATTGATCAGAGCAGAACGGACCACCACCACATCATCCATGGCCGTAGGTGAGGCTCGACTCAACAGGCGAAGATCGCTGGGCTCCACACCGCACTGCTGTCGCCGGGACCGACGGGGAGGAGGGGCCGCCACTGACAGGTGAACCTGGTCCAACGCCAATCCAGGAAAAACAAGCTGGATCCATCTTACTGAGGAAAAGTCAATCCAACACGATCGGAGTTTCTTTTCAGATGAMCTCCTGAGAGCTTTCATYCTCACCAAAATGCCTCCTCACTTTCCTCGTCTCCACCAGCGCTTTCTTCGYTGACAGCTGTGCGACGCAGGTAGGCCGRTATGTCAGATAGGAAGGGTGGTGCGTTTGATGCGTTTTCTGATGTCCATTTCGTTAATGAATTCTGACATTGCCCAATWTTTAAAAGRGCTTGGCGATCATACACCAGAAGAGCAGACACATCATGCCAGCTAAAAARGAGCAACAAAACAACAAAAAGGCCAAACAGCTGCTCGGAGAGACGGCAAGCYGCACACGCTGGCGCCATCTTGAATTTTCAAGTAATGTTGGACGATATCTGATGATCGGCTCTTTTAAATGAAACCAGAGAGCGTTGACAGAGAGGAGAAGATAGAAATG